GGTACGGAGTCTTCATATCAAGTGTTTAAAGTTGCGGAGTCTTTATATCAAGTTTTTAAAGTTGCGGAGTCTTTACATCAAGTGTTTAAAGTTGAGGAGTCTTTCTATCAAGTGTTTAAAGTTGCGAAGTCTTTGTATCAAGTGTTTAAAGTTGCGAAGTCTATATCAAGTGTTTGAAGTTGCGGAATCTTTATATCAAGTGTTTAAAGTTACAGAGTCTTTATATCAAGTGTTTGAAGTTACGGAGTCTTTACATCAAGTGTTTGAAGTTGCGAAGTCTTTGTATCAAGTTTTTAAAGTGACGGAGTCTTTATATCAAGTGTTTAAAGTTGTGGAGTCTTTATATCAAGTGTTTAAAGTTACGGAGTCTTTATATCAAGTTTTTAAAGTTGCGGAATCTTTATATCAAGTGTTTAAAGTTGCGGAGTCTTTATATCAAGTGTTTAAAGTTGCGTTGTCTATGTATTAAGAGTGGATCACGAAAGAAGAAGTTTTAAAGTTAGAGGACCTATATTTTAAGTGCTTAAAGTTACGGAGTCTTTGTATCAAGTGTTTAAAGTTGCGGAGTCTGTATAACAAGTGTTTAAAGTTGCGGAGTCTTTGTATCAAGTGTTTAAAGTTACGGAGTCTTTATATCAAGTGTTTAAAGTTGCGGAGTCTTTATATCAAGTGTTTAAAGTTGCGGAGTCTTTATATCAAGTGTTTAAAGTTGGGGAGACTTTATATCAAGTGTTTAAAGTTACGGAGTCTTTATATCAAGTGTTTAAAGTTGCGGAGTCTTAATATCAACTGTTTAAAGTTGCAGAGTCTTTATATGAAGTTTTTAAAGGTACTTGTCTGTTTGTCAAGTGTTTAAAGTTGTGGAGTCTTTATATCCAGTGTTTAAAGTTGCGGAGTCTGTATATTCAGTGTTTAAAGTTAGGGAGTCTTTATATCCAGTTATATCGGAGTTTATATAGTTTGAGTAAATCAACAAGGGAGAAGTTTTCATAGTTTTGGGGTCTTTATATCATGGGTAGAGAAACAAGGAAGAATTTTGAGCTATGGAGTTTTTATATTAATTGTTTTAAAGTTGCGGTATAGATGTCATGTGTGGATCAACAAGATAAAGGGTTTAAAGTTCTGGTGTTAACATATCAAGTGTGTATTAATAAGAAAACAGTTTTAAAGTTGCGGTGTTCATGTTTCATGTTAATTAAAAAGAAAGAAGTTTTATGTTTTGGAGGCAGCGTGGCGGAGTGGTTAGAGCGTTGGACTTGAAATCCGGAGGTCACGGGTTGAACACTAATTTGGACTTGTTGCTCAGTAGACCCCAGTTCAACTCCTCGGTCATGCTTGTAAATAGCCAACTGGTGTGTCTCCCGCCAGTTGGAATTTTTAAGCCTATTACGTTTATTTGAAATATTTGTTTCTTTCAGTTTAGGTGGCAGTCCTGTAAACTAGCAAGGAGTAGCTAAGCGCATTGAGCACTATACCTAAACATTTAACCGTCTCTTTAACAAGTTGTACTGTCCATCAGTATGTTAAGCATAATTCCAAGTGGCCTGGAGACGGATGGTTCACGTGTGTATATTTTCTTTGACTTCTGGACATCTGTTCGTATTTTTCATTTTATTTTACATTATTTTATTGCTTATCGATTCATTACGAAATTGATTTTCAGAACTCCATACGCTTTGAAGTTGTTTGCCTTGTAGAGCATATCCGAAGGTATTGGACTTAAGTTGTAGACGAGTGCTTGAGGAGTGATAACTCAGGTAAGGTAAGACAGACAGCGCCTTGACTATTTATTGCTTCTTTGTAGGGAGTTAGTTTTAACTATTCGTTCTCATTTAATAATAATTAAAATGTCTTTTACATGATTATGAGAACGCGAGGAAAGAAAGAGAATACATTTAAAAATTATTCCACGAGCGCGCGTTGGATATGAGATGGTAGATAGCCGACGAGGCGGCCAGCGCCGAGTTGGCTATAATCCTCTTATATCCAACAAGCGCAAGTGGAATAATTGTCTTATTTGAACTTTCAATTTGTTTCATTTTCACTTCACTGTCTCCTCGCCACAGTTAGGGTGATTAAGACTTGCACTAGAATGTTGAATATTGATTTAAACACAACAGAAAATTTAAGCCTAGATGTACCCATAATTTATTTCAATGGTTTATTTGTTATGTCATTTCACGTAGGGGCCAAACCATCCCCCAAATGTTTCGTCAGTTCTTGGGTATTTCACATTATTTCGCATTACTTTAAAAGTTTTGACTCTTTCTACACCAAACTTGGCAGATGAGCAGGAGACCTATTGCCAATTATATTTACGTGAAAAATGACAGTAAATGTCAAAGTTGTGACGTCACAGTGATGACGTCATGTTTTTTGCCACTTCTGAAGTTTTTAATATGCATATTTTTTACAATGTGTTCGAAAGAGCACATCAAAGGGAGTTGTTTTAGTCTCACCCATCCTCGGAGACCCAGGGGCTTCTAGCCGGGACGTTCAGCTCTTGAAGTAAACTTTCGCGCCGAAAATATCGCATCGTCGCGGCTAGTAGCCCCTGGGTCTTCGAGGATGAGTCTCAATTACTTCATGGGTCAAAGTAAGAAAATATTCACAAAACACCCAGTTATTTCAAATCCCATCAGATAATTCATAATGATGTGCCAAAATGTAAAACATATTTTCTTTGCAGTTACCATGGTTAGTAAACGTATCATCCACATGGACCGGGTTTTAACGCGGGATTAGTCCAATTCAGGAGTGGTACGAATGTTTAATTACGTGTTTGAAAATTTGATATATTCAGTTTCCTGCTGTGTTTCTTCAGATATTTATCCGTGTTTTTTAATAAGTTGCATGCAGCTTTGTCCTGACAAGGGAACCTGCAGAAATCTCGCTTAAGATTAAATCTATAATACATTAATACAATACTATCGTTGGTCACACGAGACCAAATCGTGAGACAAACAATGGTACTTTATTAGTATTTAACGTCACCACCTTTTTTTTCTAACCATAAAATCTATTTTTGCGTGTTGGAGCCATCAGTCATTGCTTCTTTCTCTTTAAACAGGTGTGGATGGAGTGACATGGTTTAAACAGTCTGTGGTTTTTAGTAAAACTGGAATTCCTTTCTTTTCTTGGACAGTATTTCGATATCCTTACTTACTTATCTTTATTACGCTTATGTTACATTATACATTGAAATTTGGTTACTTTACAGATACCTACATTAATTTACATACATCTAATTTACACCCACCACTCTCTTAACGACGAGTAAAAAAAAAAAAACACTTTCCCTTCCGATTAATATACATTACCAAATAACTATATACACAACATGATAACTGTGCTAAAGACTTGGGAATTACTTTACATGTCAAAGTTCAGTAAACCCTCATTTACTTGTACAATGTATCTTGTCTATCTCCGCCTAGCCTCAATAAAGATATGGTGTCGTGGTGTCGTGGTGTCAGAGGTGTGAAAGGCGGACTGTCAAAGTGCATATTCATTGACAAGTAACGTGCTCAGACGTGCTGTAAAGGTAAAGTTCCTTGATGACTGGCGGCAATTATTCCAACTACAGAGCTCCTCATATCTTCTGCCGCTGAAGGATTACCTCAACAGGTATGTAGCTAAATCAGTACGCGTCTCACAATCATAGGGCAGTGATGGCATGCGGGCTCACTAGGGCCACGAACTGTCAAATAGGAGTTCTCAGTATAGGTTCAACATTTACGAAGTTTAGTAAGCATTAGCTAGGGCCTGAGCGCTCAAAACCATAAATAACCTTTTAAAAACGGGAAAAAGATGGGGAAAGCGTCCGTACAACTCGAGTACAGACACAGCCAAGTCACTCCACTGGAGAGTCTGTTTGTTAGAAAGGTAAGATCATCAATTTCGGACTTACGATCGCAGATTAATCGTAATTAAGCAAACATCGACGTTTAACAGAGACACAAACGCAAAAGGCTTGCATTGATTTTCATCACAGTCCGAGAAGTGACAACTGAGTCAGCGCCACAAAGGTCATGAGCAGTTGGTGCGCTAGCTGCCAGCAGCCTGGACTCTAACAAGGAAAGATCCGAGATATTCAGGAGTAACTAAACCTTGCAAACACTTTCATGAACTCTAACCAATGTTATAAAATTAAACGAGCTGTCAAAAAAAATTTAAAAACATTTTTTTAGATGGACAGAATTTTTTCAAACTGAAGAAAACCTAAAAAACGCAAGGTTGAGAAAACCAGAAGTAAAAACAAACCGAAAATAAACAAAGCTGGTTACTACTGACGAAGATTAACGCATATTACCAATAAACAAGGAAACATTGACCATTTTTTTCAGGATGCGCTGTTCGTAATGTAGCTCCTTCAAGATTTATGTTAATTATGTTTTCAAGGCCCTTATTTTTAGCTGGAAAGGGACCCTTAGAAACTCGTCAAAAGTAGTTATTGATACAATGTACTTTTTTGTATCTACATGTACATAAAATTTGTCATAAGCTGTAATAATTCTGCATGAGCAGCAAATAATTTTTGTCTTGCCTCCAGGCCGGTTTTTTCACTGGGTGCAATAAGCACGGCATCCTGCACTGACGCATGTGCCACACAGCATCTTGTGACAAGCTTGTTTGCCAGTACATTACTATGATAAATTCTCTTGTAATATCCTATTTAAGATTCTTTGTTGACATTCTCTTGGGTTGCCCAATGATATAATAAATCAGTTGATTGTTAATCTGGCTGACTGAGGAAGTGCTGTATAAACTGTCCTGTAGGCCATGGATCAGGCGTTTTATCATGCGCTGATTCTGTCTTGCTTGCGTTCTCACGTAAATCTTTCCAGTCCATGAGCGTTTGATGGTATCTTTCCATACAGTCAAAATTACCTTTCATGAAAAAAAAAAATAGCATTTGAATTGTGAGTAAAATGTCGAGCTGTCACTGACGACACAAGATATTGACTTGTGAAAAAGTTCCCGAGTACCCCCAACAGGAGTCGAACCTCTGACCTTGCACACACTGGTCAGAAGGTCAGACGTTACCTCCCATTATTTCTTTCTACGAAATTAGAATTGTGTATCTAGTTTGTTGAGATTAGTTCTTAAAAAGATAAATTTTGTTTTTTTTGCTTTTTTTTATAACCAGTAGTTACAATGCACCTTGAGAATCATACAGGTTGATAAGTCCTCTGTAGTCGTACTCAAGACCACTGTACCCATCACCAAACAGTTTGCGTCCTGTTAAGAAACACATATTAATTACGCTTATTACCCTTACGTTATTACTTATTCACCAGGTTAGCCTATCTCAAAAGAAACAATAAATAGAAACTTACAAGAAGCCCAATAAATCCATGGAAAGTCCATGATCAAAATTTTGTCACATAACAGAAGACTATTGTGGCCTCTGCAAGGATAAATCACGTAAAATGTGTTGCGGAGCATCATGTTTCTAACTACTGTACGTATTCAAATCCAGATTTCAGAGTTCATAAATTCCTCCTGGAATCCCTGTCTTGTCATTTTACAGTATGCACTGCTTAGTTTGACTGTATCGTCTTCTGTTACATGCAGGCTATAAATAAAAACCAAGAACCGTGACAAGTTGTATCAGAGATTCCTATAATAAACAGTCTGTGCCAGACTGATGAGGTATTTTATGGTCGGCTGCCAGGAAGCTCACCTATCGCAATAGACCTTAAGTAGAGCTGTTCAGCCTTTTCATATTCTTCCATGTCGTAGTTGTACAGTGATGCCAGATGACCTAGCGACAATGCCACTTCATAGTCCTAAAGTTAGACAGGAAAATGTGTGTTTGCAAAAGGTTATCAACTCATCAAGATGTACAACCAACACAGAACATGATCTATTCTGACGTAATTTACATTACCTCACTTCCAAGTATTCTTTCTTTGATTTCAATTGCTTTCTTGTGCATGGTCTCGGCTTCCTGAAGTAAGAAAATAATTACAAACAACATCTGTTACCTGTACACTCTGCATGTCAAATGTCAACCGCACGTGCCTTGTAACTGACTCCTTAGTAAACTCTTTCAACATTTGAACAATTCACAATTATTGTTGCCTAAACCTGTAAAATGTTAGCATGTATATACTGGTTATCAGCTCTGGTTATCCGCCATGGACTCACATCCCATCCAGGTAAAGAATGGAACAATATTCCTGGTCCCTTCAACCGCGGAATGTTGGTTTAACCACCAGCAGTGTGGCCACTTGTTCCAGAACATACGGTCTATACAGAGTCGACTCATTAAAATCTTTGGTTCTTTTCAGTTACCTCATATCTTCTCATGGATTGATAAAGCCGACCTAAATTTCCATAGTGTTTAGCTGTTTGGACATTATTTTCTCCAAATGATTTCCTGCGTAAAAAAAAAAGAAAAAATCAAAACACAATTGGCATGATAGAGAGGCTGGCAAGAGGCACATTTGACCTATTCAATACACAGAATAATTAAATGCAAGAAGATGACAATGTTAAACTGTTGACACAAAAAAACATCTAAAAATATTGTAGAATAAACAACGGGATGGTTGCAAGGCCTATCGGTTAATTATACAAAACACGAGTCACACATAGTCACAAAATTGGAAATGAAAAATAGCCAGGAGTAATTAATAAGAACTGCACTACTTTTGCTTCGCACTTTACTATTAAAAGAATCTGGCTGAACAATTTCAAAGTTATGTTTAATAACTTTTATTACCTTGCCAATTCAAGTGAAGCCAAATGAAGCTCTTGTGCTTCTTTTAAAATTTCCTCTTCTTTTTGTCTGATTGGGGTGTCTATAGCTATTTCTTCTAGAATTAGTGCTGAAAGAAATGAACGAACAATATTTGTTTTAATTACTTCAACATCCTTTTCACTGTCAAAGTTTACTATGACATTTGTATGGTCTACACTCACCACCGAGCACTGCTCTCAACTAATGAGTGAGTGAGGTGAACATGTGTGGCTACAAATACTTTGTTTTACCTTATTATAGGAAATTAACACTCGTGTTAATTAACGTATTTGAAATTAACGCGACTTAAATTAACGCGAATTGAAGGTAAATTTGCTTCCCAATAAAGGAAATTAACGCGAGAGCGGGGGCAAAATTTCAAAACGAGGGAAATTAACGCGTCTGCTACACCAAAGAAAAAAAACAGAATTTGTTGAGAACAGGAATCAATTTATTTTAACACTGTAAAGCTGACAGCAAATACGCACAAAATTCAGTTGAAGTACAGTAAACAATTTACTAATGTGAAAGATTGATGTGAAATGTAAAGTGTAATTTTTGAAATTCGCTTTAATTTCATGAAGCGTTAATTTCCTATGATAAGGTACAATTAAAAGGAGTATATTCAATTTAGAAGGCAACAATCCAGAGAAACCAAACATTTGACAGTTGACTTAGTGATGGCCAGTAAACTTACCTTTAACTCTTTTTGATGATGCAAGCAGAAGATGATCGTCTGGGAAGAGTTTAGTAATGATACTGATGGCCCTCTCAGCATGGTATCTGCACAAATAAATTAACATACATCACAATTATACTGATTACTTGCTTGCAATAAAATGCTGTTAGTTTACTACTCTTGGTTCTCCTCCTTCTGTGGTCACCAATACATGATAATTACAGTTAATGTTGATTGTTGTGAGATTACTTCACCTGTAACATTCTGAGAATGTTGAGAATGAAATGACAGCTGCATGTAGCTAATCTATGTGCTTACAGCATTTCAGCGTGATGTGGTTGTATTTCAAAGTGTTACATAATGTCAAACAGACCAGGTTTCACTATTTTAGGAGATTCTTTCAAACAGAAGTTCATCTTAGAATGAAAATGAAACCTTCAGAAATTTTGGTCGTGAAAAAGAGAAATAGATTACATTCTAGAACCCACAGAGGTGTGCACATAGTCACAAGAGGGCAGGATACAAAAAAAACAACATGAATAGGGTACAGCAATAATGTTGGAAGAAAATGGAGAAGCTATCTACATGTTTACGCTTACAACACAGTGTTTGGTTGGCATGAAATATGGAAGAAAATAAAGAAACAACCATGGTAAAAGTATGATACCTGGCTTCATCAAAGTTTCCTGTACTGTACTCATGCACATACAGAGCATAACCAAGATCTTCATGAGCTGTTGCCACATGTAAATTGTTGAATCCAAAGACATAAAACCTAGTACGAAAAGCTTCCTAAAACCAGAAATGATAAATTTGCCAGTGAAGAGGGTGGTAAAGACTTATTTTGTAATCTTTTCCATGAAATTATCAAAACTGTCAGTGGTATCTGTTCATACATGAACCATGTAACTACACAACAGCTTGATGATGAAGGCCTTGGGGGCACTCCCAAATAGAAAGGACAGGGGGTGCTTGTCAGAAATTTTGAAAAGAACCCCTACGAGGGACCAAGCTCCTGTTTTGTGGGCCTGGTTTGAAAAATTTTTCACCCCTAAGAGATACTAATTCTAAAACAACCCTTTATAGCAGTACACTGAAAAGGTACCAGAGAAGCTCCAGCTGCGGACCTTTCGAGGCTGAATACCCTAAGAAATACCAAAACTGCCTTTTTAACTCCTGAAAGGTACGAGCACCCCTACCCTTTTTACATGGGAGTCCCCCCTCCTGGGGATTAAGGATTGTCACAAATGTTAGTTGTAAGAATTTAGTATTGCATCAGGATCGACATTCATTGATGAATTTCTTTATTCTTGTCAACTGCTTTCTAGACAATTTCAGTAGTGAATATCTTAAGGAAAGAATTGGATGTTGATGATCCCTTGGAATTATTGAGGAGGTAAGGGATTGTTTAGCAATTTTCAAGTTGGATACTTACTTTGTACACCTTTACAGATAGATTAATAGCATCAACATTGAGTAGATAATAACCATAATCAATTAAAGTGTCAGCATATTTTGGGTGATCACATCCAAAGTGCTGCCTGCAAAAGGAAGCAAGTTGTTCTTTGATCAGCAAATTATGTATCAATCCAGCAGAAAATAAAACTGCAACTATGCACAGTAAGCTTAATAATAAGTGAGAAGCAGAGCAATTTGTTTAAATCAATCATTTTCAGAAACATCTCTCTTACTTGGCTAAAAACATGGCCTGTTTTATTAAAAGTTCTGCTTTCTTGAATTTTCTTTTCACTACACAAGCCTGCGGAAAAAAAAAAGAAAAAAAACAGCTTGCAACTTGAACTGAATGCATCCACTACAAATGGAAGCCAATAAATAAACAAATGAAACTGTAAAAATATTCATAACTTAGATATATGTAACTTATACTCACTTACAAATACAAGGCCAACTTTCATGAAGCACAAAAAAGTGTTCACTAAAAAAATAATAATGGTGTTTTTACCTTGGATGCATTCCTTAGGATATCAACAACTGCCTGAAACAATGAAGTTCACATCAGTTATAACTTGCCAAATACAACACAGGCATTAATTTTGGGTTATTTCTTGATTACCTCTGACTTTCAAACATACAACAGAACCTGGAAGAAGCCTTACATGGATCTTTGAAGATCTTCAATGACCTGTTGAAGATCCTTTATAGATCCTTGATACACATGATTGTAATGATGAAGATCTAACATAGACCGCGTTTGAGGAATTGCAAATAAAATCTTTTGCAGAAATCTTGCAAGTTTCCTGAAGATCACTGTATGATTGTTGCAGCAACCAAACAAATTCTTTGCAAGAATTTACAAGATCTTTGAAAATCTTTTGGTTATAGAAAAAGATTCTAAAGGATGGTCAAGAATGCATGTAAAATTCTTATTAAATCGTGTCATAAATTTTAAACCTCTCATCAGAGCAAGCTTAAAAATTAGGTCTACTCAACGTAAACTTAGAGCTTGGTTGCATGATGACTCAATGGTTCAACAATTTAAGCTTGCATGTGTTTCACTTAGGTCACTATTGATAACAATTGGTGTGTAGCATGCTGGGCTACAGACATAGTAAATCCATGACACAGGCAGATTGACAGACAGACATACAGACAGACAGACAGACAGACAGACAGACACCTTTATTTGAATACTTTCAGTATCACATTTGCAAAATCTACCATGCATCATTTTAAGTTTTCTGCTGGTTGTATAAACTTATGTGGTAGACATCACAAAATTAAAAGGCACATGTGGACCTGGAATTATGGATTACTTGAAGAACTTACTTTCATTGGTAACCCAGGCCCAATTTTCTGCAATGCCTTCATACTGCACTTGTAGCCCTGTAAATATATAAGGCCACAAAAATATAAAGACACAGAAATGATTGTATATGTTCAAAGACTAGTAAACAAAGGCTTATTTCATCCAAACAATGCCATTGCAACAATTTTTATTGTGAGCCCAGGTTTTCTATCTGTAAAAGCAAATTATCACCTATCTGCAAGACATTGCAAATCGTCTACTAATTCAGTATATTTTTTGAATGCCAAGAGAGTAATAAACTGCAAGGTATCTTTCTAATCACCTCTTCGTAATCACTGAGTGCAAACAGTAATCCACATTTCTCTCCATAGAGGACTGCCATACTGATGTCTAGCTCTGTTTTGCTGGTCATTTTACTAGCTATGTCCATGGTTTCTCTAAAAGTATCTTTAGCAGCATCAAATTTGCAATTTGCTGTTCTAAGATGAAGTAACCTACAGAGCACAGAAAACATCACAATTTAATACCATCACCAAGAATCTGTAACTGAACATTATGAATTTTCTAGAATTGCTGGTACCCAGTCACTGACTGTCATCATCAAATTGAGCTGCCTACCATATATGCATAAGACTGTTTGATCAATATTTTCTATGTTCTTGAAGTTACTTTTTAATAATAATAATAATAATAATAATAATAATAATAATAATAATAATAATAATAATAATAAAGTTTTTTGGGCACATTTAAAAAACTCAATGCACTTACATTACTATAAAAAATAAATTTGTTAAATCCTATAAAATATTTCCAATAACAGTAATAAACAAAATAAATGAAACTAGAAATGGTTTCCTTTGATCAGATTTTGTACAGTTTCTGAATATAAAATTATAACATCTTTTTCTTTCTTTTCCCAATAGATTCAGATTATATTTACATGTATAAATGGATGATTTTTTTTTTCTTCCTGGGTTTCAAATCACATCCCATTCAGTGATCACAAACTCTGCCAACTAATACTAACAGTAATTCTCATAACTGCTGCTTGTAACACTGGAAAAAACTTCAAGACTGACAAAAAAAAAAACCCCGACAAAACTTCAGAGATCCAGACAAAAAAAAACCATTTTAAAGACTCCTTCCATACTGTCCAAACTTTGCTATTATCATCAAAAAAAATTACAAGTCTTTATTTAACTCAATGAAACAAATGTTCATAACTGAGAATTGGCAGTCTGTGGTACCTTGTAAGAAATTTGGTTGCTATTCTACAGCCATCTTGTTCTCTTGTGTTACAAAGTTTATAACTGGTGGCCAGTATTTTTTCACCATTTTCATACCAACCAGCCTCTGACAAAAAGCCACCTGAAATATAAAAGATCAGGGTCACCACTATTCACTGTCACTGATCTATCCTAGAGAGACAATTGACTTGTTCATTCTTGTTCTGCAACAAAACAAGATTTAGCATGATTAGGAAGTCAAGGCCTTGTTGAGATGCTCATTGACTAAATAGCATGGAATGTACTTCAAGTAGAAATTATGGCTTTTTTTATGGTAAACCAGCCATAAGATAAATAAGAGAATCAGGCACAAAGGGGAAATATATACATGTTAAGCACAAAATCAGTTCTAAGCTGAAAACTGTATTAACTATAAACTATTTTCTACATGTCACATACTACATGTCTTGACTGTATACTCATACCCAGTGACATCCCTGTTTTCAAGAGCTTCTGAATGGCTTGGCGATCTGGCTTTTCCTCTACATGTGATGCTTTCTCACATCTCTTGATAAATTCTGTAGTAAGGATTTCTGATAGATCAAATCCTTCTTCTCGAAGTCCTTGGAAGACTGCATAGAGTTTAACCCTACAAATGAGTAGTAAGGAAATCTCTAAATAAAGATCTTACACTATAATATAAATGAATAAAATGAGGTTAACACATTGTAAGATTTTTAATTCCTTTCTATCTTAATCTTGATCAGGAACAACTAATTTCAAGTCAAACAAACAAGATTGATTTGGCTTTTACTGTAAAATATAGCATCAAAATGTGAACAACACTACAAAATTAATGTTATCTGAGAGAAGTAATAAGGAATTCTGATGATAAGATACTAAAAAATATCCTGTTCCCCTTCCTCTGGCCTATTCAATCCTGGACCCAAGAACAAAAGTGACAAAATTGTGCAGAGAATTAATGGTGTCCCAGAATCAATATAATTGATCAGAGCAACATTGTTAATGGATATACAGAAGGGGAGGGGAGGGTAAAAATGAACAGTCCTGTGCCACTGTTGTTGTTCATGCTGTATTAGTAATACAAAAAAATCCCCAATAAATAACAATTCTGAAGTGTAGTACTGTAAATGGAAGAGGGATGGGTGGATAAAAACTGACATAGGCATAAGATATTTCCTCCAATTTTCAGGCATTATTTGCTATGTTCCTACAAAGAGAATAACTCTCAAAGATAATGACGACATGTTCTATTTCCTTCTGATACTCATCTAAGCATTTATTAAATTTTTGATATATGTGAAGTAGAATCAGTTAGAACATGTTGCTTGTAATTGCATGCAAGAATAAATACAGCCAATTGATTCTTTTTTTACAGAAAAAAATATCAAGAATTCATGTTATCCATTTACAGGTATGCTCATTTTATAAAATTCTGAAAACTGCGACCAAATTACAACATACGACGTCACTAGGAAACTGAAAGGCAAAACGGGAATGAAAGTTACACAATAACGGCTTTTTTTCAGTTCCACTTTGGGTTTACTACAGTGTATATTGGGCTGTGAATGATAATTTTAGCTTCAGACACAACGCCTTGTACGTGTGATATTTTATGGAGTGTTTTGAACCGTTTCGGAAGTTTTATAAGTGTACCACACTCTGGGAAGATGTCATCTAAGTCAATCATTTAGCAATGTTCTTTTCGTGATGAGGTTCCTTTAAAAAACTGTTCGTTTATCTTACGTGACACAAATGGAATGAAATTTAAATGGAGAAATTACCGTACCAACACAGGAAATAATCTTTTTACCTCGTATCCCCTGCTTTTAAAGCTTTTGAAACCGCATCCAGGTCACTCAGCTCTGCTACCAATACTTCTGTCTTACCAGTGTCGAAAAGCTACATAAAAGAAAGCCGCAAAATGCATAAACGCAAAACAAGTTTTGTAAACATCAACGGTGTCCAACGTACGTTTCCCCAAAACAACATGCTACTAAATCATGAACAGAGGCTAACAGAAAACAAAGATATACTTACAGTTCTATATATATCACACTGAACAGCATTTGGGAGAGAGCGGAACTCTGACTTAAACACATCACAATTCCTGACTGTGGTAAAAGCTGCCAAATCATACAGGCTTTCTACCCTACAATCCGCCGCCATGTTTACATCCGCCTCGTCCAGAGTGCTTCCCATGAGAACTTGCTGGTGTAGCGGAAATAAGAGCGTTACACGAGGAAACCAAAAAACTTCCGGCCTAGAGACTGGCGCCAAAATTAAATTTGTCCGCCATTATTGAAAGAAGCTTTGCTGAGAGTTTTACTCCCACAAGCATGGTCTGTGAGAAAAAAAACATTGCTGAAGGCATATGCCTGCTTCTTTGATATTTAGTATCATTTTCTTACTAGCGTTATTTGATCTTTTTCAGTCAAAGAAGCGTGGGCTGAGTTTGGAAGAGAAGAGGACGCGCCTTTTGGAACTGTTCTTTGAGAAAGTAAGGACCAGAATAAGGCTCCCGTAGTGTATAAGCGTATGGGTTAACAAAATTAAATTAAGTTTAAGTCTTCCAACCCAACATCGACACAGAAATTCACCTCACTTTCCATGGGACATATTTCCTACAGTGACAAGAGTTCGGTAACATAAGTTTACTTCACGCTTTTAATATAAACTTTAACTAAGTTAACGCAAGCTTAATTAAATTGCCACTATAATGAAATTCGCATCTTTCCTATGTAAGCCATTTTTAAAAAATGAACACGTAGTCTGCACGAGAAGAAAAATGCTTTTTACTATTTCCAGATATCTCTTTTTGTTCCAGAGAGACAGTCTAGAGATATTCAACTTTTAAAATATGCAAATTAGCCCAGTGATGACGTCATAAACTCAAGCAAAGTTTGAACTATGATGAAAAAAGATATCTCAGCCAATTTGCATCAGGATTGTTTGATTTGTTGCAGTAAGATTCTACTAGATGTTCTCCAGAATATGTGTTACTGAGGTAACATACTGGGTTCCAGACCTCCTTGATATTAAAGGCTTTTCTGTCCACCTTTTGCATTCCATTTTGATATTTGCCAATGTTGCCTCATCTGCATGATCCAGCAAGCATAAAAATATGTT